ACATTTGTTATGTTTGCTTCATAGGCCTGTCTAATCCTTGGTTGAAAGGTGGACTTCTGGAGTGTCTTTGGTTCTGAGTTAGCAGGGTGTCTGGGGGCCATAGTCTTGGGGGTTAAATTGTTTATGTATTTATTTGTTGTTGTTGAGAATATACACAGCAAAAACATACAGCAATTCAAATTTCTACATGCACAATTCAGCGATATTGATTGTATTCTTTGAGTTGTGCAACCATTCTCACCCTCCTTTTCTGAGTTGTTCCTCCCCTATTAACATAAGCTCAGTGTCCCCTAAGCTTATTATCTAATCTTTCAAGTTGCTGTTGTCAACTGGATCCCATATAGATAGATCTTAAAAGAACACAATGCTTAAGGAAGACATTCTTTACTAGTTAAGCTAAACTTGTTTGTTTTTAAGAAGACTTCAGGGGATATTTTTGGTTTAAGGTTTAAAGATTATCTTAAGGCAATGATTTTGGGGTTTGTCCAGCCTCCATGGCTCTAGAAATGCTGGATTCCATGAGAATTTGAAATTCTGTTCTGCATTTTCCCCTTTTTGATCAGCATTCTTTCTCTAGTTCTTCTGATCTCACGGCCAAGGAGACCGTTGCTCATAGAGGAAATTCACCACACATTCCATTTTCTCCCCCTATTCCTGACTCTCCTTCCTCTGTTGCTAGGCAAATAGAGACCAATTATATGCCTTGGGCTCCATAGAATTTTCAAGGCTGTGACCTATGGAAAGCAGATCACCAGGCTGGTCTTCTGAAGCACCTTCGAACCACCAACCTTCTAGACTTTTGTCCAATTGATTTTTTCCCTATAATTTAAATTTCACTAACTACAGGTAGTCCCTGACTTCTGACATATTTGAGTTACAATGCACCGCATTGACAACCATCCTTTTTTTTTTTTTTTGGTACATCTTATCATTAGTGATACGTACTACAATATAGCATTGCAGTACGTAATCTGCTGATGTCATCATACCTGTAAGTTTATATGTAATATTTCCAATCCCCAAAGACAAATAAAGATAGGATTTATAAAGATAAAAACCCGTTGCTGTCGAGTCAATTCCAACTCATAGTGACCCTAAAGGACAGAGTAAAACTGCCCTATAGGGTTTCCAGGGAGCGGCTGGTGGATTCGAACTGCTGACCTTTTGGTTAGCAGCCGAGCTCTTAACTACTGTGCCATCAGGGCTCCATTTATAAAGATACTGACTGATAATAAAAAGCAATAATAATGAAAACAAAAAAAAATGAAGTATTTGACTGATGTCAGAACAGACTTCCGACGAAGTCAGACTGTGACCCCGTTGTAAGTTGAGGACTACCTGTACACAGTTCTTCAGCAAGATGCAGACCTATGTTAAGTCCTGAGTTTGCAAAACTGAGTAAGATACAATCCCAGAACAGGAAAAAAGCAGGGACGATATTTTAAAATGTCAAAACAAAACAAAACAAAACAAAACAAGCACGTAGCTGTCGAGTCGATTCCAACTCATAGTGACCTTATAGAACAGAGTAGAACTGCCCCATAGTGTTTCCAAGGAGCAGCTGGTGGATTCAAACTGCTGACCTTTTGGTTAGCAGCAGAGCTCTTAACCACTGCACCACCAGGGCTTCTTTTAAAATACAGACAAAATTTATTCCTGGAGGCAGGCAGACTTGGTTTAAATTCCAGCTTTGTCCTTTACTTCTTCTGTAGCTTCAGGCCAGTTATTCAAGGTCTTTGTGCCTCAATTTCCCAGCTTGTGACGCGGAGATAATAATGGTGCTTGTCTCAGAGTGCTGTCGTGAGGGTTCAATGAGTTAATTCATGTAACGTGGTTAGAATGGTCCCTGGCATATAGTAGGTGTTCAGTTATTGTTAGATGTTTATACTGTTGTTATTTTGTTATTCCTGCTCTTACCACTCACGGGCTTCAGTGAGTGTTGTTACTTCCCCCTTTTCCTCAAACATGCTAACCAAAGTGAGGCATTACGAAATATAGAACACTTGACCGGGAAAGGCTCTTGCCTAAATGGAAAAAAACGAAGACTTGTTTACATTTCCTCGTTCTGTATTTCACTTTTCTCCTTTCGCCTGGGACGTGTGCTCCCTGGTGCTTGTCAAGTTCTGTAGCATTTCTGAGCCTCGGTGTCTTTGCAAAAACAGGGCTAGCAATGGCTGCTTCAGATGATGCTTCGAGGGTGAGATGATCTTAATACGGGCACACCAACCGCTTGGCACTGATATATAGTAAGCCTCAGCAAAAGTCGGTGCTAGTCATATTAGTAATATTTTATTAGTGTGCAATTAGTATTATTTCTACCACCCGTCTGTCAGTTTGTTGTACTGTGGTGGCTTGTGTGTTTGCTAAGATGCTGGAAGCTATGCCACACCGTATTTCAAATACTGGCAGAGTGTGTGGTGGACAGGTTTCAGTGGAGCTTCCAGACTAAGATAGACTAGGAAGAAAGGCCTGGCAATCTACTTCTGAAAATTAGCCAGTGAACATCTGATGGATCACAACAGAATATTGCCTGATATAGTGCTGGAAGATGAGCCCCCTAGGTTGGAAGGCAAAACGGCCACCACAGTGGCCTCGAGTGTACCAGTGATCATGAAAATGGTGCAGGGCAAGGTTTCATTCTGATGTACACAGGATGGCCATCGGCACCGACTTGATGGCAACTAACAATTAGTATTATTAGTATAAGTGACTTCTCCCTGAGTCTCAGTTTCCTCATCTGTAAAATGGAAATGATTGTTATTAATAGTGATGCAGAGGTGCCCCGCTGCCCATCTCACAGAGGATGAAGTGGTCTGAATTGGGGTCCCCAGAGTCATGTGGTGAGCTTTTAAAAAAAATCTTGTTATTTAAGACTTAGTTTTATTCTTTATTAGAAAATTTCATTCATTCTGTTAACATTCCGGAGTTATTAGAGATAATGCCAAAATAAGCTTCCCACTTGACCCCCCGCCAGAAGTCTGAGCCACCAGAGGTTAAATGTCCTTCCCTGGACCACGTACTTTGTTGGGGTCAGAGCCAAGGGTAGAAACTACATGGGTCTCTGTGTCTTCCTGAAGCAGCTTTGGAGAGCCTTTAACAAACCCCAATGACGGGATCCCATTCCTTGGATTCTGAGGGCGTGGACTAGAGTGGGTATAACAGACTCCCAGATGATGCTGGGCATGGCCTGTGTTTGGGGAACCATTGGGCTGAATGACCATCTATGGTCAGCCATATTTTCTCTCTCTCTTTTTTTTTTTACTGTACTTTAGATGAGGTTTTACAGAGCAAATTAGTTTCTCATTAAACAATACACATATTGTTTTGTGCCATTGGTTGCCAACCCCACAACGTGTCAACACTCTCCCCTTCTCTACCTTGGGTCCCCCATTACCAGCTTTCCTGTCCCCTCCTGCCTTCTCATCCTTGCCCCTGGGCTGGTATACACATTTAGTCTTGTTTTGTTTTATGGGCCTGTCTAATCTTTGGCTGAAGGGTGAACCTCAGGAGTGACTTCAGTACTGAGCTAAAAGGGTGTCCGGGGACCATACTCTGCGGGTTTCTCCAGTCTCTGTCAGACCAGTAAGTCTGGTCTTTTTTTGTGAGTTAGAATTTTGCTCTACATTTTTCTCCCGCTCTCTTCCGGGACCCTCTGTTGTGATCCCTGTCACGGTAGTTGGTGGTGGTAGCCGGGCACCATCTAGTTGTTCTGGACTCAGTCCATATTTTCTCTTTAGTGCTGCCCCATCCCCTGATTTTAATTTTCATTCTAGCTCCCCCACCTTTGTTCCTCCTTCAGTCACCGCTGCTGGGAGTCTCGTACTCTCAGGCTGGGCTGCGAGGAACACCAGGGAAGGAGAACCTGGGTCCCTCTTGTGAATTCTAGGTCCGATTCTGAACTCTGTCACTAACTTGCTGTGTGATCTTGGACAGTTGCCTACCCTTTCTGCCTCTGTTTTTTCTTCTGTACAGTGGGGAGGTCGGACATGCTTTTCTGCCCCCTCCAGCACTGCTGGTGCATGGTTGTCTCCCCTCCTGGGGATGGTACATTCCTGCTTGAAATTTCCCCCCGAGCAGAAGCAGGGTCACCCTCTCCTCTACCCCCTTGCGAGTCCTTTCTTCTCCTGCTCCTGGCTTGGGGAGGTGCGTATCTTTGTGTAAATAAACATCTGTGATATTTTTAACTTCTTGATGGCAAAATGATGAGCTGAGAACAAATTAAATATCTCGAGACGCAGAAACATTCCACTCTGTTCCGGTTCAGCTCCTGTTCCCTTGGGCCCGTTTGCTGCTGGGCGCTGGCTCCTCGTCACCACCCTCACTCCGATACTTGGCCTCCTTCAAAAACACCGTTCCCGTGGAAGGAAGGGTCTTGTGATTCCGACTCATAGCGACCCTACAGGGCAGAGTAGAACTGCCCCACAGGGTTTCTAAGGAGCGGCTGGTGGATTCGAACTGCCGACCTTTTGGCTGGCACCCAAGACCTTAAGCCACTGTGCCACCAGGGCTCCAAGGTGGGACTAAACCCACCCAGGTGGATGAGAACTTGTTTAAGTTAAATATTTTTTATTGCAAAAAGGTGCATAGAAGGAAATGAAAATGTTAACAGTGCTTATATATGGTGGCGTATATTCTTCCTTCCTTTTCCTTCCTGTGTGTGAATATACATTACTCATGTCATATAATATACAATAACTAATGTCACAGAAATATGTTCCTTTAGAAACGGTGGATCAGACTGTATGGGCTTTTTCTGGCCGTGCGTTTTTCACGGTGTATCCTGTGCTCAGACTTTTCCTACAGTATATTTAGAGGCCCTATTGCATCGTGTGGCTATGCCATAGCTTATATAACTTCCCCCGTGGTCAGATAGTTGTCTATTTCCGGTATTGTGTTCCTGTAAATAGTATTGTGATGAACTTCACTCTGCTTTTAAACCCCAGTGGACAGGACTGCAGAGTCCGTGGGCGGTTAATAACAACCTTTTCTTCTGTCTGCAGATTCCAAGACTCTTAGCGCTGAGACTGAGGTGCCCGCCTCCACTCAGGTGAGCCCCTGGTCTTGTTAAAGGGTCAGGGAGGCAGCATCTAATGGTCGGGCTGGCACCAGGCAGAATTTGACTCAAATCCCAGCTCTGCCATTCACTAGAAATCTGGCCTTTTCCAGCTTCTGCAAAATGGGATAATAGCAGTTGTGATGTCACAGGGCCGTCGTGGCTGTCAAGTGGCGTGTAGAACCCTTCTTTGTCTGGCAGACACCCCTAATGGCTTAGCTTGAGACTTGGATCCGGTTCTTCCGAGCCCCCTCCTCTGCAGATCCCTGGTGTCATGATTTGTTGGAAAGAGGATTAACCTCTGAAGCTGCTTTTGAATAATCCAATTTCCCAGCCAACTCTGTCTCCTCCCGGGTCCCGAATTCCCTACATGCTAAGCTGGGAGGCTCCGCCACCCCTGGAGCTGGGCAGCACAGGGAGGAGCCCGGGGCTCCCGAACCCTGTGCAGATCCGATGGAGGACTGTCCAGATGCCTGCAGGAGCAGCTGCAGGTGAAGCCCAGGTCTGTGGGGCCCCAGGAGCTTCCAGCACGGTAAGGGGGAAGCCGACGCTGATGAGAGCCTGCCAGGCTGGTATGCCTTGCATTTATTATCTCACTTCATTCTCATGTTAACCCTGCGAAGAATTAGAATCCCTGCTTTATGCGGGGGACTTGGGGGTTCAGTGGAAGAATTCTTGCCCTCCATGTAGGAGACCTGGATTCCATTTCCGGCCAATGCACTTCATGCAGTCACCACCTGTCTGTCCGTGGAGGCTTGCGTGTTGCTATGATGCCGAACAGGTTTCAGCAGAGCTTCCAGACTGAAATGGACTAGGAGGAAAGGCCTGGCAGTCTACTGCCAAAAAACGAGCCAGTGAAAACATCACAACAATCCAATCTGCAACGCATCATGGGGATGGCACAGAACTGGGCATCACTGGGTTGTGCGTGGGGTTGGCATGAGTTGGGGGCTATCTTGACAGCAGCTAGCAACAACTTTTTACCGGGGAGGAAAACTGAGGTCCAGGTGGGTTAAGAAACCTGCCCAAGGTCGCATAGCTGGTAAGTGGTGGGGCCAGGGTTCTAGTCTGTGTTTTCCCCAGTCAGTGGCAGTAGACCTATAAGGACAATTGCTGCTTCAATGTGTTTGTTGAGTGTCTCCTCTGTAGAAGATGCTCTTTCCTTAAGCTCTTGATGGAGAGGCCGATGGAAGGAAATCCCCACCTTGAGTAGGCAAGGCATATATACAGTTAATACAAATAACAGTGAATAAGTTACAGGTGACAAAGGCCAGATATGGGGAGGTTCATGGGGTACAGAAAGGAATTCCTTGTGTAGATCACAAGTTCTGAGGAGGTGGTGGCCGAGCGAGGTCCACCTCCTCCAATGATGGTGGAACCTGCAGAATCAGGCTTACGATGAGAAATGTCTCTTTTAGGCATCAACTATTAACGAAGATAGTGATGATAATACTCCCCCTGCGTATCCTGCAAATGTAACAAGCCTCCCAGGTAAGGACTGGGTATTTTTGTATGTTCCTATGGTCTGGGGAAACCCTGGTGGCATAGGGGTTAAGAGCTCGGCTGCTAACCAAAAGGTCGACGATTCAAATCCACTAACTGCTCCTTGGAAACCCTACGGGGCAGTTTGACTCTGTCCTATAGGTCGCTATGAGTTGGAATCGACTTAGTGGCAACGGATTTTTGGTTATGGTCTGAGGGACACAAAAACTTGTCTCTGCAGAAAGTTTTTTCCCAGTTGGACTGGCAGAGGGCTAGTCTGACTTCATGAAAAGGATCAATGGCAGAAATATTCTTTTACTGACGTATACATTCAAGGTTGATACTGTTAGTCAAGAAGTAGTGGGGGGACTGTAAGAAGAATAGGACAAATCAGCAAAATATTTCATTCTCCGCCACAGTACAAATGAATGTGCTACCAACAAAATTCGTGGAGTCTGAAACAGAATACGTGTTGAGGGAAATTTTCGTTTTGGGAGCCCTTGATTTCAGTGCTTCTGAATTATACCTAGAACTCCCTATACCTGCAAGACCAGGAAAACTTACCAACATAGGAATCCAGGACAATCACAGGTCCTATGTTTGTTTCAAGGAAGCCCTGGTGATACAATGGCTAAGCGCTCAGCTGCTAACCGAATGGTTGGAGCTTTGAACCTACCCAGTGGCTCCGAGAGAGAAAGAACTGGTGATCTGCCCCCCGTAAAGATTACAGCAGTTACACTCTGTCACATAGAGTCTCCATGAATTGGAATCGACTTGATGGCACCTAACAACATGTTTGCTTCACTGTATACGTGGGATTCACAGAGGCCAGACTCTGGAGGTGCCGTGGTTGAGTGGCTCCAACTGACGGCTCTTGGGCTTGCTAAGGAAGTTCTCAACCCCGTTACCCTTACCTGGGCAGCTTCCTCTCTGCACTTGATGCTAGTAGCCCATGCTGCACCATCTTGGTTGAAAAGCCCTACTAGAATGCAGTGCACCTATAGAGTACCTACTGACTACCTGGGGCTAAGCTCTGTGCAGCTGGAGACTCAGAGAGAGTCAAGCCTGTCCCTGGCCTCAAGGAGTCTACAGTCCAGCAGGCAGGCTCCGATGAAGAGTAAACTTGGCATTGTCATAAAGAGTGGGGTGTGGGATGTGCTGAAAGGGAGACATAGATAAAACAGAGTTGGAATTTAGAGATTCAAGAGAGCATATCCAGTTGGGGAAACCACAGAAGGTTCATGGAGGAGGTGTCATTTGAAATGGGCCTTGAACGATATGGTCGGGTGGCAGGTGGTTGGGGTGTGTAAGGGCTGCTGCGTCATAGGAACGCTTGAGTATTCTCCTTTCACCCTCATGGACAATCTCATCTAGGCCCATGTCTTTAAAGACCTTCTATGGGCTGATGGGAGCCCTGGTGGCGCAGTGGTTAAGCATTTGGCTGCTAACCAAAAGTCAGCAGTTCAAATCCACCAACTGCTAGGGCAATTCTACTCTGTCCTATAGGGTTGCTGTGAGTTGGAATCGACTCGACAGTAGCAAGTTTATGGGCTGATGACTCCTAAATTTATATCTCCGTCCCTGACCTTTTCCCTAAGACCTAGACTTATGTATCCAACTGCCTAGTTGACATGTCCACTTGGATACCTAGTGAATATCTCAAACTCAGCATGTCTAAAACAGAATGCTTGATGCCTTCTGTGGAAACAAAGTCAATTCCCATTTCTCTGACACCAAATGTGTTGATCAATCCAAGTCAATGTATTACTAATTCTGTTCCACTTTTGTTCTAATACTCGCTGTCCATGCAGCACGTCTTCCTCGGACCATAATCACCCAGAGCTAGGTCAGACCTCACAAGTTAAAGGGCTCAGTCTTCCAGATGCCAAGTCTGCCCAAGACCTCAGATACCAGCCGCAAGCTTGTAGTCCCCATGACCTGCTGACTACAAATTTGGGATTTTCTCACTATCCCCTTAGGATGCCAGCTGTAAGCTCAGCGTTCCCCAGAACCCTCCTCACTTCTGACCTGCTGGCTCCCACTACTCCCTTGGGTTTGACAATTCTCTAGAACAACTCATAGAACACAGGAAATTGCCATACTTACAATGTATTGTAACAAAAAGGATGCAAATGAAGAGATGTATAGGGCAAGGTCTGGGACAGTTTCCCAATGTGGAGTTTCCATGTCCCAAAAAGGGATGTGGTACCCTCCCACATACTGCCCTCCCACTGCGTTGATATCTTTTATCAACCAGGAAGCCCCTGGAGCTTCTGTGACCAGGACGTTTATCAGGGCCTCTTTACATAGGCATGATTGATTGATCATGCCTCCCTCCCCTGAGGTCGGCTGATATTAATCACAGGGTACCTCTTTCTGGCCTGGCCAGCCCCTACCCAAGAGTCATCTCATTGGCATAACCTGTTAGGTAGATGTGGTCTGGAGGCCTCATCAGACACTTCAATCACTGGGGAAATTCCAGGGTTTTAGAGGTTATCTCTCAGGAACTGAGGACAAAAACCAAATTCATCAGGTAGTTAAATTCTTTTACCCCACATCTCCCTGCCTCTCCCCTGCAAATCTGTCCTTCTCCATCTTCCCCATCATCGTAACTGGCCCCACATTTGCTGGGTTTCTAAGGCCTATGGGATCAGGCAGGCTTCATCTCCTACCCCTCATCGCATACCCTGTCCTCATCCCATACCCAGTCTATCATTTGTACCTTGAGATATATCCAGCAGTGACCACTTCTCACCACCTCCACTGCCAACACGCCGGTCCAGCCACTGTTGTCTTATCCAGCAGGACCTCTCCAGGAGATGCCAACTGGCCTGCTGGCTCCCAGTCTTAACCTCCAACAGGCCGTTTTCCAATCAGTAGCCAGAGTAGCTCTTAAAACACAAAGCCAAGGGCTCCCTTGTTCAACACTACCTCCCTCAGAGTAAAAGCCCAAAATCCTAACTGTCTTAGTCATCTAGTGCTGCTATAACAGAAATACCACAAGTGGATGGATGGTTTTAACAAAGAGAAGTTTATTATCTCACAGTCCAGTAGGCTACAAGTCTAAATTCAGGGCGTCAGCTCCAGGCGAATGCTTTCTCCATCGGCTCTGGAGGAAGGTCCATGTCTTCAGTCTTCCCTTGGTCTGGGAGCTTCTCTGCACAGGAACCTCAGGTCCAAAGGACACACTCTGCTCCCAGCACTGCTTTCTTGGTGGTATGAGGTCCCCAGCTCTCTGCTTGCTCCCCTTTTCTTTTATCTCTTAAGAGATAACAGGTGGTGCAGGCCATAACCCAGGGAAAGTCCCTTTACGTTGGATCAGGGATGTAACCGGGGTAAGGGTGGTATTACAATCCCACCCTAATCCTCTTTAACATAAAATTACAATCACAAAATGGAGGACAACCACACAACACTGGAACTCATGGCCAAGCCAAATGGATATACACATTTTTGGGGGGACATGATTCAATCCATGACAATAACAAAGCCCCCAAGTCTCTTTGAGATCAAGTCTCCCTATCTTTTGACCTTCCTTCTCCCTGTTGCTCACTGTCTCCAGCCACACTGTCCTCCTGGCTCTTCCACACATTCTCTACCCAAGGGCCTTTGTGCTTGCTGCTTGCTCTGCCTAGACGCCCTTCCCCGCCCTCTATTCAGCCAGCTTCGTATCATCTGGATCTCTTTTCAGAGAAGTCTTCCCTGACCACCTAACAGAGCTTCCCCACTATCACTCTCTCCCCTTCCTGTGCTTATTGTCATCATTGCCCTTGTCACTGCTGACATCATACTACATACTTGTTTGTCTCCTTGACTAGAAGGTAAGATCCAGGAGGGCAGGAACTTTTTTTTTTACTGTTGTACTTTAAGTGAAAGTTTACAATTCAGGTTAGTCTCTCATACAAAAATTTATACATACACTGTTATGTGACCCTAATTGCTCTCCCTGTACTGTGACAGCACACTCCTCCTTTCCACCCCTGATTTCCCGTGTCCATTCAACCAGCTCCTGACCCTCCCTGCCTTCTCACCTCACCTCCACAAAGGAGCTGCCCATTTAGTCTCATGTATCTACTTGAGCTAAGAAGCACACTCTTCACAAGTATCATTTTATGTCCTATAGTCCAGTCTAATCTTTGTCTGAAGAGTTGGCCTCAGAAATTGTTTTAGTTCTGGGCTAACAGAGAGTCCAGGGGCCATAGTTTCCGGGGTTCTTCCGGTCTCAATCAGACCATTAAATCTGATCTTTTTACTAGAATTTGAGTTCTGCACCCCACTTTTCTCCTGCTCCGTCAAGGACTCTGTGTTGTGTTCCCTGTCAGGGCAGTCATTGGTGGTAGCTGGGCACCATCTAGTTCTTCTGGTCTCAGGATGATGCAGCCTCTTGTTTATGTGGCAGAGGGCAGGAACTTTACTGTCATGTTTTTCTCTGTATCCCCAAGGGTTAGAACAAATGCTGGCGCATGCTGGGCACTTAATAAATACTTGCTGAATGAATGAACAAATGTAAAAGGTGATGAACTATTAGTAAATTAGCAGGCCAAGCATCCTGCTTCCATCACATGTCTGTCTCTGCCAAGACACCTGGGTCACACTGGAGAGACCTGTCCTTGTAGTGAATGCTCACTCGTTAGCCTGGACTCGTTCCCATGCCTGCATACAGTCAACATCTGAGGTGATGACTGGCAAACAGTGTCTCCATTAACAGTGGGTACATTTGGGACAAAAGAGCCTGAATCCCAAGTCCATGTGACTGTGAGTATTTGCATTCCCAGCAGAAGGAGAGAATGATGGTTTTGCTCAGATGTACTCTCTGTCCAGCCCAGAGTTCCTCTCTGGCAGCAGTAGGGAGGGCCTTTTGGTGGGAAGATGTGGCTGCGTGTGAAGCTGTTTGTTCTTTCATTCATTCAACAAAATATTTTGGATAGCCTGCTGTATGCTGGGCGCTGTGTGAGCAGCTGGGAGTATGACAGTGAAAAGTGCACATGTGGTGCCCACTTTCAGGGAGCTCAGTCTAGAGGTGGAGCTGGAGAAGTAACCAGGAGGGGCTCTTACCCAGCTCGGGATGGAGTCACTTCTCAAATGCATCCCCTCCTCTGAGACTTGGAGGCTGAGTAGGGACTGGGCAGCAAAGGGGTGCAGCAAAGGTGGGAAAAGCATTCCGGGCAGATGGAACATGTGTGGAGAGGCCTGGAGGAAAGAGAACATGGCATGTTGGAGACCTGAATGACGCTCTTAGGACTGGAAGTTGAGTACCAGGTGGGGAAGCCAGCCAAAGGTGACACCCCAATGGAGCAGACAGCTTCCGAATACTTGGAGATCTCGCTTAAAGCATCTGAGCCTCCTGACATGGCTGTTGGTGGAGCTGCCATCAGCGAGGCCCCCACAGCCTTCTGATTCTTGTACCCCCTCTGTGCCTTGTGAGAGCAGGCCAAGCACACCTAGGAAAGCCATTTTGGAAGTGAGTGGGAGTCTGCAGCTGGCTGCAGGAGCTCAGAAGCTCTGTCCTTGAGGTGTATTCCTTGTCAAGTGGTAAATCTTTGGGTCTGTCCGATTATCCTGGGGGTGGCTCTGCTAGAGTTGGCTTTGGCCAGAAAACGGGCCAGCTTATCAAGTGGCCTCTTGGTTAGCAGAGCTGTTTCCTTCTCGGGGAGTGAGGTTCCCTTGAGGACTTTGACAGCACCAACTGAGTGGTTTTCTCTTCCTCCTTTTTTATATTTTTCTGTAGTGCAAAATTCTTCTTCAGCACCCCTGCCCATGTTCCTGGTGGCTGGAGGAAGCCTGGCCTTTGGAATGCTTCTCTGCATTGGCCTTGTGCTGAGGTGAGATGGTGCTGGGGGACGGCTCTGTGCTGTTCTCACATTTCTAATCTACCTTTGCTTTGCTCGTTCAGTCAACAGACATTTATAGCATTCAGTCATTCATTTATTCCTTCAACAAATGGACACACACATACACGCACACAGTGCCTACTATATGCCAAGCACTGTTTCAGATGCTGTGGGTGACAGTGGTGGGCAGGATAGATACAGCCCCAGCCATCATGGTCTCATGAAGAAAATAGACACTGAGAGACAATGACTGGTGTGACGAGAGTCACAAAAAGAGCAGCCCGTGGCAAGCAGCACTGACCTGGCATTAAAGAGGAATAGGAGTTGGTCTGATGGAGTGGGGGAAGAAGGTTCCAGAAGAGAAGTACAGTTTAGAGTCGATGTGTAAGTATGTGTGTGTATGTGTGTGGGGAGGGGGCGTATAACACAGGAGGACGAGTGAGGAGAAAAGGGACTAGTGGGGGAGGTTGGAGCCTGGCCGTGAAAGGCCTTGAAAGAGAAGAAGAAGGATTTGAGACCCCTTGATGGTAATGGGTGTCTGCTGGAGAGTTCTGAGAAGAACCTGATCAGGTTTGCAGTGTTAAAAGATCACTCTGAATGCAGTTTGGAGACCGCATGGGAGAGGTAAAAATGGGCATCGGTAGCCCAGTCTGGACAAGAGATGAGGGTAGTCTGTGCTAGGATGGGCAGGGCGGTCGGAGCCAGGGATGGCTTCAGGGTCTATTTTAGACGTGGAATTGACAAGATTGGATGGCAGATTAGACGGGGAAGATGAAAGAGAGGTAGGAGTCAAGGGTGGCCCTCAAGTCCTGGCTTCAGCATCTTGGCGGACAGTGGTGTTGTTCCCTAAGACTGGAAACACTACCGGAAGAACAAATCTGAGTGAGCGATGATGCTTCCACGGTGGGATTTTCTGAGTTTGAGGTGCTTGGGAGAACACCCAAGGGAGCATGTTTGGTAGACAATTCAGATCATCTTCAGCATGCAGATGGGAGTGGATAGCATGAGGAGGCAAGAGGGCCTACGGCAGACCCCTAAAGTACAGTGTGAGAAGCCCCACAACAGACGGAAGTACACAGTTAAATCCGAGAAGCCTGGCCAGACCCCCTTGGGAATATTCCATGTCTCAATACTTGCAGATGTAAAGGGTCACCTTTAAATTCCCTGTCCTGATGCTCTTCTGCCCACCAGGGTTAGAAAACGCCCTCTCAGGCTGAGTTGGTTCCTGGCAGCTATAGCACCATGTCCATTTCCCCCAGTCTCCCCCTCTCCATTCTGTCATTAGTTTTGTTATTTACTCCTAAATTTGCAGAAAATCAGCTGACAGTGCCCATAATGGTTGGGCAATCAAGAAAACTCCTGGTGTTCAGGACTTTACTACGGGAACTCGAATTTTGCGTATGTCCAAGCCCAAAAGAAGTCAGGCTGAGCCTTTTGGGCAGTAGTTAGTTACGATGATAATACCAAGTGAAGAAGAAACTACACTTCTTTCTTCCTTCCTTCCTTCCTTCCTTCCTCCTCCCTTGAGAGTAACTTTCAAGGGACTCTAGCTGTTGATTATGGGAGGTAACCTTTGAGGGCGTTTGGGAAGGAGCGTGAGATCTTGGCAGAGAGCTTCCCACATTTTAGTTCACTGGATCCTTACAGTGGCCCTGAGCTAGGTCGACCACCAGGGGTGATCTGAGTTGGAAGATTAGCAAGATGACAACTCAAACTGTATTCAGGGTTACTCTCACTTTGCTTTTTCAGTGAAGTAGTGAACAAGCTGCCCAAAGAGTATGCAGAAGATAAGGGTCTTAAAGAGTCGAGGTAGCTCTCTGGAGGAGCGGAGGGCCCACTTTGGGCCAGAGAGGGCCCATATCAGCACTGAAGAGTCTACCTACTGCCTTCCAAGGGATTCTTTACCTCCCCACGGGCACACACTTCTGCATTCTATTTCTGTTTCTACATAGTTACAGCTTCCACAGGTCTTGCTCATAACCCACCACAGACCCTCCAGAGTTGCTATCACGATTTCCATTTTACAGATGAGAAATCAAAGCTGAAAGAGGCAGAGTGATTATAGTTAGTAAGAGTAAAGATCAAGATTCGGATCCAAAGCTCATGCTCTTTGGATAGGGCCTCAGGGGCTATCTAGTCAACTTCTTTAATTTTATGTAAATGTTGAAAATTTAATTTAATTTTACAAATGAGAAACCAGTCCCTAGAGGTAAAATGACTTGCCCAGGGACACATAGGTTCTACATAGCAGACCTAGGTCTAGAACATATGTCCTGAGAGTCCCAGCCTGCTGTTGGCCAAGAGGCAGGCACAGCTCCTCTAACTCTGTTGATTCCATCGCTCCAGCTTTGGTGCTTGACAGCGCCAGCTTGGTGTGCTATTAACTGCTAATAAGAAGCTTTAATTTAAATGTACCATTGAAAAAGGTTTGCCATTTTCATCAGCGCACACCACAGACCTAGTCTGCTAATGTGCTGATGGTGCTTGGACACTGGCTGGTTGGTAAACAACCCAAGTCCCTGAAGGCACAGACAGGGCAAGTGAGGACATATCAGTAACTTATTTCCTAGCCTGATGGGTTTTCATTTTCTCCCATATACGGAATTATTAGGTGAATTTATTTGGAACAAGGCCAGTTGTTTCAAGCGAGGAAAATTGTGCCACTCCCAGAATCCTTCGCCTCAAAAAAATCTAGAGATACTGAGGGAGTCTGGGAGTGCAGAAATGGCCCAACCATGATGGCTGTCGGGATGACCACATTTACAACCAGCGGGATGTGAGAGGCAGGTTGAATTCATCCTGCCAGTTCATGATACTGTGTTTTTACTTTGAGCATATTTATTTTGTGTTTCAACCAAAGCATAGTCTTTTCCTAATTTTTTTCCAACAAATACACACACACACATATAAAAAAAACCAAACCCGTTGTCGTCTAGTCGATTCTGACTCATAGCAACCCTATAGGACAGAGTAGAACTGCCCCAGAGGGTTTCTAAGGAGTGGCTGGTGGATTCGAACTGCCGGCCTTTTGGTTAGCAGCTAAGCTCTTAACCACTGAGCCAGGGAGCCCTGGTGGTGCCAGTGATTAAGAGTTGGGCTGCTAACCAAAAGGTTGGCAGTTCAAATCTACTAGCCGCTTCTCGGAAACCCTATGAGGAAGTTCTACTCTGTCCTGTAGGGTTGCAATGAGTCAGAATCGACTCTACAGCAACGGGTTTGGTGTATGTATATATATATATATACACACACACATACATACACACACGCTAATTTAAATGTGCCATGGAAAAAAGTTTGCCATCTTCATAAGTGGAATGTTAGAACTTCAGGGGCCAATACTCCCCACCCTACTCCCTGTCCCTCACCAATTGTCTCTTTCATTTTACTTTATCAGACGCTGGGAAAAGAGGATTCTCATAGGAGAGAATTACTTTTCTGCACATTTGTCTAGAATGGACTTACACAATTAGGTGAAGGCTTCCTGTGCCTATGATATAAAAATGATTTCGTATTGGACATTGTGTCTCATTCTAAAATTTTAAAATCACAGATTCTCCCATCTCTGTACGGGCAGGGGAGGTTTGTGGTGTCTCGTGCCACGGAAGTGACAGGGTACAGTGGGAACCTTCTGTGGTCTTGATGGCGGTGGGAGGGTTGGGCTTGGCGCTTCTCACTGGGCCTTAGTTTCTACATCTGTTTTTTTTTTTTTTTTAAAGGGTGAGGGTTATTACGAGATTTCAAAAAACAAAAAATTGTTTTGGCTGCAAAACCTTTTTGTAAACAAAAGTTTCTGAAGCCCAAATGTGTAAAAAGGTTGGAGGCTGAGGTGCAAATGAATTCTGACAGCTCCGCTGCTTCTTTCTGCCTGGCTCACCATACCCCCTCCGGCCCCCAGGCCCTGCTCAGACCCTCCACCCAGACTGGTTTCAAAGGCCCCTTCAAGCCTGGTAATTTTCAGAAAGAGTCTTTATTTTCTCCTCAAAATATTTAAAAGGAAGGAAAACTCACCTTTTTTAGTTCTCCAATAGTTTCTTAAAAAACAAATGAAGACAGACTGCTTTCTATATATTGACTAAATGAGGTCAATAGAGATGTTTTAAAAATTGTAAGTTTTATGTGGTTATTACAGACAATTTGCTAAATACTGACAAAGTAGAAAGAAGGGGGGGAAGATCATATATTATCCAAAGATGGACACTGTTAATTTTTTAAAATGTACATGTGATTTAAGTATAACAAACATACAGCAATGGGCACGTCGTTGGTGTGCAGCTCCTGAATTTTAATAAAGCGAATATACGCGTGCAGTCAACACTCACATCAAGAACGCTTAAGATTTTTTTAAATACTTTTTTTTACAATTGTGGTTAATACATAGGTGACAAATCATATGCCATTTCAGCGATCTTCACGTGTGCAGTTCAAAAACCAAACCAAACTCAAACCCGTTGCCATCAAGTCAATTCCAACTCATAGCGACCCTATAGGACAGAGTAGAACTGCCTCATAGGGTTTCCAAGGAGCGGCTGGTGGATTCGAACTGCCAGCTTTTTGGTTAGCAGCTGAGCTCTTAACCACTGCGCCACCAGGGCTCCATGTACAGTTCGGTGACGTTAAATATGTTGATCTCGTTCAACCATCACCATTAACAGAAGTAGCTGAAGTAACCATTAACTAGCTTTTTCATCACCCTTAACAGAGGCTCCGCGTCCCCCACCAAGAATGCTTAACATGTTAATGAATTGCCTCCAAGACGACTTCCTCCACAGTTTTTGTTTGTTTTTATATAGCTGTGATTATCCTGTATCAAGAACTCTGAATCCTGTCTTTTAAATTTAACATTCTAACAGAAGCCTCTCCCCTGCCCCGCATTACAGATTCTTTGTGAACCTCACTTTCACGAGCTGCAGGCTGCCCTATTAGGCAGATGTACCCAAGCTCATTTAACCAACTTCCCACTATTGAGTATTTATTTGGATTGTTGTTTTGCTTTTGTAAAAAACACTGTAATGAACACCTTTGTGCATGAAGCTATTTCCATAGTTCTGTTATTTCCTGTGGGTATATTCCCAGCAGTGGAATTCCTGGGTCAGAGGGTCTCTGCATATTTTGAAATCCATAGAGTGTAATGACTGTCTCCTTGGCCCTCTCTGGGGGAGAAGAATTCCGCTCAAGGACCCAGCATAGCTCCAGTAAGCCCTCCTGCTGGGTCTTTCCGTGTAGTAGCCACACAGTGAAGTCCTAAGTAACATTCTGCAGATTGTTTATTTCATTTGGATACCAGGCTAAGAGCCAATGACAGATTCAGAGCCAACTATCAATTATTTATCATAACAAGGACAGGAATAGCCTGCCGATATAAAAAGAAACCCAACGAAAATCCCCAAACCTTGTTTTTGACATTGGTTTCCCCTCCTTTCCCACAGCCTTTCCCGGAGTAGCTGACATTTGGTAGAATGGAGGGTGACCACCTTGTTCCCACCTTCGGGTTAATAGGCAAAAAGCCGGCCTCCAATGGGAAGGAATAGGAGGGGAGGGATGAGGCTTGGGGCCCTGGCTGCCCCAGCACAGCTGAAGGGCCCCTTCAGGAAGGAGACCTGACTGTACCTTTGGAGATCAATATCATCATCTCATCTTTGTCTGGGCTGGCAAGTGACTTTACACAGTTACAGAGCCCTGGCTTTGGGCTGTGAAAGAGGCAGTGATCAGAGAGATGTCTATCTCCTTCCTGTTTAACACTGACTTTCCTGTCAGATGAGTCATTGTGCCCAAAGGGTGCCCACGGCGCAGTCTGTGAGAACTCACCCACATGGTGGTAGTGGGCCCAGAGATGCAGGGGGAATTGGGGAGGATGGAGATACTGGAAACTAGAGGAGGAGGGCTTTCTCTGCGGCCCTTTCTCTGCCGTTAAGTTGTTATGTAACACTGAGTCGCTTCCGACTCAAGCGACCCTGCGGACAGCAAAACGAAATCCTGCCTGGTCCTGGGCCAACGCCATGCTATCAAATGGTGGTCGCAAATGATCTGCCTGCTGCCGGCCTTAATTTGGCTGAGGCCCGTGTTCCTTCCTCACGGAAATATTACTCTCTCTTTTTGAGTTAAGCGATTTGGGGCTTGTGTTAGTTTTCTAAGGCAGCTGTAACAGAGTACCACAAACCGGGTAAACGGGGTGGCTTAGATCGACAGAATCTCTTCTCTCATGGAGGCCGAGAAGTCCTCAAGTCAGGTGTGGCGGGCCTGCTGTCTCCGAAGGCTCTTTCAGCTTCTGGCAGCCCCAGGCGTTTTCTTGACTCTTGACAGCATAACTCCAATCTCTGCCACCATCTTCACGTAGTCACGGCTCTGTGTGTGTGTCTCCGTGTGTGCGTTTCTCTCCTCTTATTGTAAGGATATTAGTCATGGTGGATTAGGACCCATCCTACTCCTTAGGACTTCATCTTAACTAATTACATCTGCAAAGACCCAGTTTCCAAATAGGGGTACAGTCACAGGTGAGGGAAGGGGCCTAGGGCTTCAGTGTATCTGTTGGGAGAACACAGTTTAACCCATGACAGGGCTGGTGATGTGTACCTAATGGGCAGCCTCTGGAACAGGATAAATTATCAGGGCTATAAAAGGACACTCGTGGCTACGTGTGCCTTTATTTCCCCCGTTTGTAAATCTGGCCAAATCGGGGTGTTTTTTGTCGTCGTGGTTTATTGTCTTACTTTAAGTGAAAGTTTACATTTCAAGTTAGTCTCGCCTACAAAAATTTATACACACATTGTTTTGTGACCCTGATTGCCCGTGTCCATTCAACCAGCTCCTGACCTTCCCATCTCACCTCCGGACAGGAGCTGCCCGTTTAGTCTCATGGATCTACTTGAGCTAAGAAGCGCACTCTTCACGAGTATCATTTTATGTCCCACAGTCCAGTTTAATCTTTGTCTGAAGAGTTGGCCTCGGGAATGGTTTTAGTGCTGGGTTGACAGAGAGTCCTCTTTCGGGATGTTTCTGAAACCCACCAACTCTTCAGAGTATTGAGACGTCCCTAGTGACAACACACAGCTGACCAAGTGAATAGCCAGCACTCCTCTGAGCTGAAACCTGGGAGCACCAGCCTACAGGGCAGCCCAGCCGTTGGTGTTTTTCACCGTGTGGGTTCATCACAGGGAAAATTAAACATCTGTGTGGTTTGTTTTTGTGTGTTTGTGTGAAGGTTCAGGAAGATGTGGAAGCTACGAGCTCTGAAAGAAGGCAAGACGAGCATGCATCCGCCGTATACTTTGGGTCAGTTGATTCCCGAGAGACCCACCCCCCCCCCAGTCCTTGTCCCTCTCATCTCTCCACCGCTGTCCCCCAGCAGCCTTGGGTCTGACAACACCTTGGGCCACAGCCGACCAGATGCCAGGGACCCACGGAGCCCTTATGACATCAGCAATAGAGACTATTTCTTCCCCAGATAAGCCGGCTGGGGTGACGCCAGGAAAGTTGGAGTGTCAGACGTGCGGAACTGTGTGGGTGATGGAACAGAAGCTGGCTTAGCAAAAGGTGCTTCTTGCAGCCATTGCAGCTCATCTCAGTTTATGAGGCCTCCCACTTCACCCTTCCAGAAGGTTCTACACTGGGTGAAAATACATTTGCTGCGTCTGTTGTAAGGAAGAGGTGGTTGAGTTTTCATACCACCCTTCTCCAAATGCCTTGCCTACAGGAGTTGGAGTGAACTTAGGCCCACCTGAAGAGAGAGGTGTCAAGACTCTGTGGGACTACCCAGTGGGCAGAGCCAGGGCTGCTGGATAGGTGACCCCGTGGGCTTGGTGTGGAGAAGCTACCAGCTGCCCTATTACATCTTGTCCACAAGCTCTTCTCTTCCCTCAGACAGGTGGGGTGGACTTCTAGCCAAAGACTCCCCCAGTCATCTGTAGCTCCCGGTCCACCACATGGTTTTCTTATCTTCTAGTTCAAACTCTTGAAACCCAAGTGTTTTGGCAATTCAGTTTTTCTGGGTCTGAGGACAGCTTTCACTTCCACCACTGAGGCTGAGGGAAAGCTCTCCGGACTCCTGCCTTTCTTCCTCACATCTGAAAAACAGCTGGAGGGGAGGGAAAATATCTCAGGGCCTGATGGTTTTAAAGAACCCATGAGCTTTGGTTCTTCATTAGCATTTCACAAGATGTGAACGATACTCCTAGGCATTTGCCGAATACAGAAGCAGCTGTACTGGCTTGATTTTCCTCTCTGGATCCCAGGACTTCAGGAGAGAAGCTGAGAGGATGAAGGAAATGGGGGACCCAGTCTCTGTGCTCACCTATAGTAGCAGAGCCGAGGGGGACAGCAGCCTCTGAAAACCAATGTCCCCCTCCTTCCCCCTGCCACGACCCACCGCCCCCTGACAAGGAGAGTTGGCCTCAGGGAGGGCTTCTGCCCTTGGTGAGGTCAAAACTGTTTCACCCCAGCTTTATTTTGTTTCAACTGAACCAGAGTAACTAGGGAAGATAATATTTATGTGAAATAGGGATGTGAAAAGAAACAAAAAGAACTCGGCAAGAAGATGTTTTAATTTGGTTTAAAAAAAAAACGACCATAAATGCTGATAATTTTATCTCGAGAGGATGTACATTCCAGTATTAGCTGAGGGTCAGTATATAAATAACTTGGTGAAAAGCACAATGACTTTGTTTAGTGTGAAACTGAGTCAGGTGACAAAGGAGGAGGAGAAACCATATTTTCCCCATTAGACAAGGGATTCTGGTTGCATTCTGTATTCTTTTTGTTTCCAAAAAGTGAAAAAATAGGCTCCCTCTTCTCTAATTTTAGGCGAAAAGCAGGTGGCTGTGGAGCAAACGGTGTCAGGCTCCCGGTAGCTGGGACGCAAACCTCCCACCATTACTGGGAAGGGTCAGTAGAAAATCCCCAGCTCTGAAAGCCACAAGCCCTCTCTTACCAGAGGTTACCAGTTTACCAGTTGCTATCGAATTGATTCTGACTCCTGGCGACCCGCTATGTGTCACAGTAGAGCTGTGCTCCATAGAGTTTTCAATAGCTGATTTTTTGGAAGTACACCACCAGGCCTTTCTTCCTAGGCACCTCCGGGTGGACCCAAACCGCCAACCTTTTGGTTAGCAGCCAAGCGTATTAATGTTTGCACCACCTAGCGACTCCGTTACCAAAAGTAGGTTCATTAAAAAAAAAATCCCTTAACTTGGTGCCTTCCTCTTTTTCTTACTTTCCTGGAATTAGATTCACTTCGGCTAGTGTGGAAGCACCAAGCAGATGCTTAGCAGGGATGTTGTGACTCACCGCTTCAGTTCACTTTCCTCGCTGGGCTCTGAGAATTCAGCGATGTCAGTGGTTACCCAGACAGGTGCCCTCAAGTCGCAGGGGGTATCCCAAAGTGGAGCTAGGGTTGAAATCAGTCATGTAACCACGACCAGAAATTTACCAGACCACAACATTTTTCTAGTCATTTATCCTTTTAGAAAAACAATCACCACCTCTAGACAGGTAGCAAAAGACAGAAACAACGGTGTTGTTTTTTCCTTTTTTTTTTTTTTTTTACTGTTGACCAGGTTTAAACTGTTACTATCTTGGGTAAGTAGTAATTTCTAGCTGGCTTTGTCTGTAACTTTTAGATCCTTTAAGGAGCCCTGGTGGCACAGTGGTGAAGCGCTCAGCTGCTAATGGAAAGGTCTGCGGTTCGAACCCCCTAGCTGTTCCGCAGGAGAAAGATGTGGCAGCTTGCTTCTGTAAAGATGACAGCTTTGGCAACCCTATGGGGCCGTTCTACTCTGTCGCTATGAGTCAGAATCAACTCGACGGCAAAGAACGGGTTGCTCCTTTAGACAACTAATCTTAAATTTACAAAAGTTAGGCTGAAAACAACTTTATATATTAAAAAAAAATTTTCTTAATATGTAAAGTTTCTGACACTTGAGAACAGCAAAAAATGCTGTTAAAGGGAAATATCTGGAATGAGAATCTGCATGTGAAGGGCGATTCTGTGCCCACAGTTCTTTCTTTACAAGGTTTTACCCACATGTAATATTAGCAGAGCCAGTCTCAGCTAGCAGAAGATGTGAAATCCAGATAGCTCGGCAGCTTTGATCTCCAAATTGTTATTGCTTTCATTATTATTGTAACGGAACAGCTTTTTTTTTTTTTTTTTTTTTGTATTGAAGAGGGTTTTTTCCCTTTATTTTTTTATAAGCTAGCGTACATGAAGGAAAAGTGTTTGTCTTCTCTGGGCTGTTGGCCTTGCTCAGTGTCCACAGCTATGTCCCCAAGCTTTCTCTGTCCTTGAATTTGTGTTGGCTATATGTTTTAATCCACAGGTCATCCCTACCTGTGTTTCCACAGCATGGGTGCCGCCTCTTATCCTTGGCAGTGATGTTACTCACTGACATCTGTAGCAGTCTGCCACTTAGCCAAATGTGAAATGTCAGGATAGAGATAGCTTGTATTAAGCATGACAACTTAACTTGCTGGGTGGGAAAAGCTAAAAGCGATCGTTAAAGTTAAAAGTGGCTCAAGGTCTAAATTGAGGTGATCGTTAATTCTTGTAGCATTAACAAAAAATATTTTTAAAATATCTCAAGGAGGTAGCACTGGATGTGACTACAAAGCCTTTGGTGGCCCTGAGAGCTTGGCTGTGATGGGACCTTGACCTTGAGGTTTTCTTACTGGTCTCTGGCTCATATGCGTCCTTCCTGTTTTCCTGCTGTCCCGTGGGAAAGGACACTCATCACCATGGCGAGGGGTGGACTCTGCACTCTGGCTGCTGGAACCGTGTTGGGAGCCCACCTGGTGGTGAACAATGCACAGCGGGGCAGATTGAGAATGGTCACTGTGTGTGGGTTTCCTGAAGAATGTTCTGGAATGTCTTGCCCAGCCACTTTGTGGTGCTGAGCTTCATGATCTCATCGAGGGCCCTGCCGAAGGCTGAGCCAGTCAGGGAGGATTCCAACGCCCAGCTCCAAGGTGCAGTTGATGAGATATTTATCCTAATTTGGAGACACAGAGACAGACAACCTGTTCTCCCCTGGAGCATGAGCACTGCGCCCAGCTTTCCCACGCAGCCATCAACGGTGGGGCGCTTGCTGGAAGGGGCCGGCCAGGTGGCCCAGGTTCTGTGCCAGATGCTCCTGAGCGTCCCCTAAAGGTCCTTCCATCACCGTATCCTCGGAGTGGCCAGGCGCCAGGGAGTTTCCATGGCAACCTTAATGATCATTAGGGAACATTGTCAGTTTTAGGAACATATGTGCCAACTAAGATCTACTTTAGAAGAAAAGGATTGGAACAGCATGTAGCAAGGCTGTTAATTAATATAGAGACCTTATTTGGATGGAGATCGCACATCTGTTAAATAGAATACCTCAACTATACGTTGCCTTTTTTTCCTTGAGAGAAGGAAGTAATAGTTGTAAGTTGTGTGTGTGTGTTTACCTAATTACCTGAACGCAAATGCTGATGTCTGTGTATGGGGCAAAGGGTCAGTACAATATGTTTTTCAATGTTTTCTCTTTTTACCGGCTGTTTTGCATTTAAAGTGAAACTGTAAATGTTTGAAATAAATAACTTCTAAAAATGTGCTTGAGATGTAATTATGCTTTGGGTACCTGGGTCATTTAAAGGAAATATTTGAATCACTGATTACTGAGGGGAAACGGATGAGGAAGGATGACTAATTAGGACCATTTGGGGGTGAGCCTCTCTTTCATGCAGGATTAAAGTACCTCTGGGAAAAAATCAGGTAAGTTCAAGAAATGAGCAGCAGAGAAGCTCAAGAGATAGGTAGCAATTTCTTAAAAAGCTTTGATTATAAAAGTATTTCCCAAAATGAGTCCTGAGATTTCTGGAAAACGGGTAGGTACTTCCCCCAGATGATGAATACGTGGGGAGGGAAAACAAAGGGCCATTATTCGTCAGAACCATTGCCGTGGAGTCACTAATGACTCTTAGTGACCCTATAGGACAGAACAGAACTTCCCTACAGGGTTTCCTAGGCTGTAATCTTTATGGGAGCAGACTGCTACATCTTTCTCCCACAGAGTGGCTGCTGGGTTCAAACCACTGCCCTTTCGGTGAGCAGCCAAATGCTTAACCACTGTGCCACCGAGGCTTCTCATTCATTACTCATTAGAAGACTGTTGATTGGACGGGGTGGCCTTAACCGTGTCCCAAAGGCAGCCCAGCACCCTGGATTATCAGATAGGCTGAATCAGCCTTCTGTTGAAAAAGGTCCCAGGTAGGAAAAACTGGGACCGGGACCAGAACCAGCCTACAGCTTCCAGACATGAGAAGCCCATCATGTGGATCCTTTGTGGATGAGTCGATGTATAAAACTGTTGAGGACTGGGGAGGAGAAGACTGCAAGCAAGCCTGGAAATTGTGTAACTCAGACACAACTTGACAGTGTGAAGCCCTGCCTCGGGCCCCTGTACCTACAGAGCCCACCATCTCCTTCAGGACACCACATCCTCCTTCTGGGAGGATGGTCCTGGTCTTGCAGAAAGCAATGCAGGAAACAGATGTCCCCCATGGCGGCTAGGCCGTGGGGGCCGTGGAAGAGGTACAGGAGCGGGCATAAGCAGCTGGGGAATGGAAGGAGATGCTTCCCCTCTCTCCACAGTGTCACTGTGAGGATGACATGGGTAGGGTGCTCTTTTCAGAAGAATTCAGGGGAGCAGATGGTGACTCTTGCAGACGATGGCAAGGAACACTCACTTATTGGAACAGCCTTTTCAGAAAGCATTTTCCTTATTTACTACGGCACAAGGAGACCAACCCTTTCTCCATATCTGGAAGAAGAGAGGGTCAGGCAGCAAACAGTGTTTACCATCCTGCGGTAGCAGAAGCGTGCTGTTGGAAGGCCTTTGAAGTCTTCAGCTGCAGCATTGCTGTGTGCAAAGGCTAGGGTCGGGGCTCAGGGCAAATCCTCAGGCAGAGTGGCAGGTCCAGGGCTCGCTGGATGGCCTGTTGCTTCAACAATCCTGGGTGACAACAGTGAGCCCGCCATCATTCCGCAAACACTGACCAGTGTCTCGTTTCTTTACGGAAGTCCCTGTCGTCTGATGGATGTCTTCAGATGTATGTCACTTAAAAAAAAAAAAATCAGTCATGTTCTATTGCTTACCAAAACAATTTTAGGCAGCAGGCAACCCCAAACGTGAATAATATTACATTATTCAGTAAAATCGTAAAAAATTTATACCACAGGCGTATGTCATATCCAGTCAATGGTGTTCTTTCTTCTAAGATAACTGGAAATTGCTTAATAAAGCTGCCCAGTATTCTCAAAGAAAATAGCTCACTGCATAGTGTTGTTAGGTGCCATTGAGTCAACTCCGACTTATAGCGACCGTGTATACAACAGAACGAAACACGGCCTGGTTCTGTGCCATCCTCACAATTGTTATGCTTGAGCCCATTGTTGCAGCCACTGTGTCAGTCCACCTCACTGAGGGTCTTCCTCTTTTTCTCTGACCCTCTACTTCACCAAGCATGATGTCCTTCACCAGGGACTGGTTCCTCTTGATAAATGTCCAAAGTATTTACGACAAAGTCTCGCCATCCTTGCTTCTAAGGAGCATTCTGGCCACACTTCTTCGAAGACAGACTTGTTCCTTCTTCTGGCAGTCCACGGTATATTCAATATTCTTCGCCAACACCATAATTCAAAGGTATCAATTTTTCGTCAGTTTCCTTTTGATATTTCCTTATGATTTTTTAAAGGATGAAATTTATCAGGAGGAGAATTGTATTTTGTTTCAGTTCTTACATTTATGTGCTACACGGTAAGGTTTTAAAATGATGGACCGTGTAAGAGGGACATCCTAGAATATGTGCCCAGCAGATGAAGGGCAAGTGAGAAAGGAGGAAGGCCATGGGTGTTGTTGGTAGACTCATGGTGCTGCCCAGTCTTGCACCATCTTCACGACCGTTGGTCTATTTGAGTCCACAGCACCCTGCACACACCCGCTCACGTAATGCCCACCTAGCCTGCAGAGCATAAACATACATCGGGGTGCATTGACATTACTGCAATCAGCTTGCCAAAATCTCCATTCCTGGCTTCCCCCTTAGGGATTCCAGTTCAGTAGTTCTGATGTGGAGCCCAGGAAGCTAAATAAGCTCCCAGGTGGTTCTGATGAAGGTGGTGATGTGTCCTTAGGGTGACTGTGAACTGGGACAGTTTCTAGGATGAGGTGGGTGCTGGGGGGTGCTCAGACCTCAGTACTTAGTGTACTTCAGTAGATCATGTCCATGGATGGGTGTATTATGAGGAGAGGCCAAGGCCTTCAACCTCAGGCCCTCTGAATCACAACAGCTGGGTGTCTGTCCCCATGAATGCAAGTTCCATGGGTTAGTCTGCTCTGCAGCCAGGTTCGAGTCCACCCAGAGGTGTCTGGAAGAAAGGCCTGGGGATCTACTTCTGAAAAATTAGCCATTAAAAACCCTATGGAGCACAGTTCTACTCTGACACAAATGGAGCCACCGTGAGTTGGAACTGACTTGATGGCAACTGGTTTCCTGGTGTGCTAGGGACCAGAGGGCTGGAGGAGTCTACAGCAATGTGTTACTTTACTGTGGAGTTACTGAGTAGTCATTAGGAAACAAAATCTGTGGACAGCAAAGAGGTATACTGGCTACCTAGAAGGCCGTGGTCTTTTTTTCGTAGGGATGATCTATTCACTTTGGCTAATGAGAATGGCTACCGTTGACTGGCCCTCCACCACGTACTTTACGAACAGCGTATTCTTTCTCATCCTAGTGATGCTGCAAGGTAAGTGTTTTCACCTGTTTACAGACGAGGCCACGGAGGCTCATATTGGTGAAGTTAGTGGGCTAAGACGCTAAGCTAGTTAAGAGGCTGAGCTAGACTCTCAACTCAGGTCTGTGCCCTCTGCCCTCTCAGTGTGGCTCAGGGCCCTGGGCAGCTGGCTACCACCTCACTGGCCTCTCTTTCCAACCCCTTTCCCTGGCTAGGTGCCCTCACCCTGTGCTAGGTGGGGGCCTGGCCTGCTCACCCCCAAGAAGGGATGGATTCAGATTCCTCATTTTGTTTCTCACAACTATCATTGTGAGTAGGGGTTGGGGCTGCAAGCCGAGCCATGGGGAGTCTGGGCCTACAAAGAAAGGCGAGTCCCAGGGGCTCCCAGGGGGGCCCTGAGTCAGCCAGACTCCAGTGCTGCTCATGTAATTCCAGCTGTCATTGAGTTGATTCAGAGTAGAACTGTGCTCCATAGGGTTTTCAATGGCTGATTTTTGGGAAGCAGATGGCCAGGCCTTCCTAGTTCTACTCTGACATGGGGTCTCCATGAGTTGGAAATGAAGCTAACGCAACTAGTAAGTGGTAGCATGCAAATGTTGCTCATGTACTAGGCGGCCACAAAAGAGATGGGCGGCAACTTGCTCCTTAAACTTAGTGATCCTTGATCAGGGGCCAAATCAAACCACTTCCTTTCTGTCTGTATCTCCCCATACCTCTGTACTATGTGTGAATGATTTGGTTTTCTCTGCTACTTCCTCGGCGTAAACTTTAATGAGCTTCCTCAAAATCTTCAAATTGTGCTTTATTTATGGTGTGGAAACCTGATTACTTCCACTCCTTCTGAAAGGATGAATGGTCACCAGCCTTGGGTGATGGTTCTCTCTGGCTGGTGAGATTCATTCAAGGAATGTTTACTGAACCACTGTGCTGGCTGAGGGCTTGAGAGGGACCTTGTACCCCAAGGAATCCCTTCCTCAGGGAGCTGGCAGCCCATCGAGAGAGCCGCATAATAACAAGCAAATGCTGTTGAGTAATGAGGGTAGGTCAGGGGGCTCTGGGAGCAATGACTTATGTGGTCTTTGGCATCAGGGAAGGAAGGGATAGAAACACAGAAGCTGAGGGAAGACCAGGAGGAGTGTTCCAGGTGAAGAGAGCCTCCAGGGCTCCTCCAGCAGAGGATCGAGGGGAGGAGAGGCCTATCATGGCTGCTAGTGGGGGGCATGGCAAGGGCGAGGCGGGAGGGGGGCCTGCCTTGAACTTGCACTATATTCAGCAATTCTGCAATATTCTAAGAGCATTAGGAAGTCACTGAAGACCGCGTTTGCTCTTTCTTTTTTTTCTTTTATGCATAGTTGAAAGTTTTTTCATGAGCATGCATATTTTTATAATTAGAAAACTTTTCATTAAAAAGATTGTAATCCTTCTATTTTGGAACGGTTCAACCACTTTGTACTGCCTATAAACACTGCTTATTAAAAAGTACACGAAGAAGTACAAAATTGGCTGAGGCAGTAATTGTTGAAGCTAGGTGATGGGTAAAAGAGAAAAAAAGCATTGCCGTGGAGTCAATTCCGACTCATAGTGACCCTACAGGACAGAGTAGAACTGCCCCCAAGGCTTCCTAGGCTGTAATCTTTTTAAATTGTGCTTTAGGTGAAAGTTTACAGCTCAAGAGAATTTCTCATACAAAAATTTATACACATATTATTTTGTGACGTTGGTCGCAATCCCCACAATGTGACAGCACACTCCCCTTTTCCACCCCGAGTTCCGTGTGTCCATTCAGTCAGTTCCTGTCCCTTCCTGCCTTCTCATCCT